TAGGCTGAGACTGCTCTTAGCACTCGATTTTGCATAACCTAGTGCTTTTCATAATATGGGCACAGATTCAACCATGGGAAACCAAAAGTACCCAAAACATTCAAAACCCTACAAATATTCACCAAAAGAAACCCTAGAGAAGTTCTTGGGATGGTGCTAGAAATCTCACAAAATTCAAATTTTAAATATGTTTAGCTTAAGATAATTAACCATCTTGTTTAGTTCCATTTAAATAATTAAATGCCACTAATGCATTGAACTGTTCTTTCAGAATAAAATTTGTTCATCAAGCAAAACTTAATAAACATGTTAATATTCGAAATTTAATAAAACAAAATAAAGAAGAGATGGCCAATGTTCCTTCTGACAAGGCAAGAGTCCTGATTTTCATCATGACATGTGGATACATGTGATGGTAACATGGCAAGAATGACATCCTTTCTGACTTGTCCTTTTAGCTGACATATAAATGTAATGAATTAGATTCCAGTGGATTTTTAACCTCCTGAATTTGTTAGTGTTTTATCATTATTGCTTATTTTCTTCCCATTTCTTAGTATAAGGAGTTCAATTATGCTCCCTCACAAGTACCAAAAATTGTCCCTTTACACGTTTTGAAGCATTCCCTGGACTGATTACAAATTCCCCTCATCCATAAGAAACAAAATTGTCCTCAGTGCCTCAAAATTTATAAATTCTCCTCAAGGGGCAGTGCCAAAATTTTCATTAGATTTCTTCTTTTGCGTACATTTATTTGTTAGAGAGGTGGTTGTTAAGTGTATTATACAATAGTCCACCAATTTTCATCTAATCTCATCTCTTGTAAATTGTGATTAGTTCCAAAGAGATGAAGGTATAAAGTTTTCTATTTTTCCTAAGAAACCCACTTAAATTGGGATCACAGATGATACTTGAGGTTTTACTCACAAACAAGTGATGCCAATTGATACACCAAGGTTTATAGTTCAATTCTAAGCTAACCATATAGAGCATGGAGCTGATAAATGAAAAAGGAATAAGGTTAAGAAAAAAGCCCAAGCTTATAGAAACCGTTTGGTTTCAAATAAGGAATGAAAGGGGATCCATTTTTGGGAAATTTTCCTCCCCTCAAATGTTTAGGACTCTGATGGTAAGCTCGTAGAGTCCTATATCCAGTAACAAACAGAAAAGAATTTGATTAGAAAGAAGGGCATTTTGATCTTATGATTTCCAATGTATAACAGAATTGTGAGAATCCTCTCAAAAGAGTACTAACATAATGCTATAACTTTTCAGAGAAGGATAACCAGCCCTGATAGTTTACCTTCTCTTCCTTATTTTGGTACAATTTCTTCTGATCAGAGAGTATTTATAGCAAATTTCCCTAGGCTTAAGTTTATCCTTTTTGGTAAAGCAAAGGGTATTGACAAATACAAGTGACAATAAGATGACTGTGGTTGATTGGCTATTACTTTTTTTAGTGGGCCACAAGATGGGCACTTGACTAGACAAAACAGGTTGGCTGGGCTGGAGTGATAATGGAGCACAGTGCATGGAGCTTTATCCAGGCTCTATCACCCATGATGAGGATCTCTTCTTTCCCTATCATCTCATCTTATAAATTTAAACTCACAGCCTCTTGTGCCACAACCAGTCAGGCAGTGGGTTAGTTGGCATGTTGCAGAGGCAGATGAGTGATGAGTGATGAGCTTGTGGGCCACAAAAAAGAGGGCCCATTGAGGGTGATGGACCTTTGTCTGCATATGTACTTTTTAAGCCTACAGATAGGGAAGAGGCTTACAAGGTGAGTTACATTACATATAAGCCCAAAAGATAAGTCCCTTCCTTTTTGCAGGAGTGAAAGAAATCATGGAGCCTAGAAAATGCCCATCATTCTCAATGAACACTCATTTTTTGTTTGGCCCACAAGCAAGCTCACTGACATCCTAGACAGACCAACAAATCCTTATTCGGCTGCTTGTGGTATATGTCCTCTCCTTGTGAGAGAAGTCACGGGTTACGTTTGTGAAATTATAGGGATGGGATGGAAACCATAAAATCATGGGTAGTGGAGCCAGGGTGAACCCTTTGTCTCACAATACAAGCTGGTGCCAGTCTTGTTGGCTTGTCCTTTGCAGCCCTTTGAGATATGAGTCAAATGCCTTTCAGATGGTTCCAAGTTAAGCCCACTAAAAACAAACCAGACAGGGCCACAAAATCATAGACAACGAACCTGCTTTTCCGAAGCCTTGGCATTGCCAAAGCATGGAGTTTAGTAATTATTAATCCTAACAGCGCCCGTTCGGGAGGGCTTTCACGTGCGGCCTTACTAGTTTCTTCATAGTGGCTCGGTGAAAGCAGTGCAATCAAAGTTGAAGGCCTCCCAAAAGTTTTGGTTGAGCTGATTTGTAGAAGTCATTAAAAGAAGCTTATATTATGGTTGAAAGGTAGTAAATTTGGGCTTTCCAGGATTTTTGCCCAACATTGTTTATAGGATATCCAGGTGGGGCTTACCGTGCAAAGCCTAAAAGCCACCACAAGAAGCACCTCTTAAACGGCCACTAAAATAATCTTTCGCTTTTGAGAGCTTTGGGTTTGGGCTGAGATATAGAAATGAACTGAAAATCCATTCAACTGTTTGGTAAGAATTACTTTTAAAAAGCATATCTATAACAATCTAAATCCTAAGCTTATGTATCGCAGCACAAACTTATTCATTCTCTATGTCTCAACTCTAGGTGAGGTGATAAGGATAAGATTAATTTGATGTTGTTATTCCGTGCTTGTCCAAGTGATGGACAGGTTAAATCCGTGAGGTGGTGGGCCACCAGGCCATGTATAGTGATGTAGCGCAATCTCGTTGCTCTCTGTTGTAGGATAGTTCGGTCGTCAGACTAATGAGATCGTTTAGTTGAGTATATCAGAGTGTCCAAGTTGCTTTACTCTGGGTGGACACTCTGTTGCTTAAGTTAGCGAAGAGTGTTGAAAGGTAAAAACAAGAGAATCAAAGAGCTGTGAGAGCTATATCTCACGAAATGTGTTTGAGATCTCTAACTCGTCTGATTCGGAGTTAGTTTTGCACCCAAAGACGGACTCCACGTAAGCTGATAAGGCTTATCCAACTCAATTCGAATTGGGCGGGGAGAAGATCAACTCCATCGGCGTGGCGTTGTGATCCCAAGGAAATCAGAGACTATTGGCTCACTCCAAGATAAAGGCTATTTGGCACATCGGACAGGTTGATACCCAAATTCGAGCTATTTGTACCTCGGCCAGACGGGGTGATGTTGAGGTGTACGAGGTGGTACCCCAAGGTGCTCCTTGGCACCTCCTTGAAATCGCTGAGGTGTCATTTTTGTTGTTCTTTGATGCTACATGTCGCAATGTCATTGGTAGACCAAATTACCCATCATCAATTGGCCCCCACTCCCGAATTTGAGGTGGCCAGCTCGGGGAAGGGCTAATACCAAGTTGAGGTGATTTGGTTCAGAATTCGGTTTTGGCTGCAGTTTGACCAATGGCTTGGGATCTTGTCAACCCAATCGGTCTACTTTTGAGGCCGATGTTGCATTCCGGGTACACGCGGATGTCACACGGTCATTAAGTTACGCAGACATCAAAAACACGCTAAACTGATTTTGCCTCGGAATAAAAAACATTGCACCCTTGCGAACCATTGGATGCAACCGATCTTGATTTACTCGTTATGCCATCTATAAATAGAGCCCTTGGGGTCCCATTTCTCTTATTCGTACTTTATGGAGCTTTGTTGCATAGAGAGGTCACAAAGCTCAGTGTTGTTAGTGCTATCATTCTTGTCAACGAGGTTGTTTTATCTGTCTTAGGTGAGTCATCTCTCTTTACCTTCGTTTTACAAAGTCTAATATTGAGTTTGGGGAAGAAAGGGGTCCGGCCCGCCAGGCCAAGAAAGGGTCCTTGGCTCAGGAGTCAAGACCGACGAGGTTCTCATAAGAGGGCCTTGTCCTCCCGTCGGCCACCAAGGGCTAAAGCACCAGACCACTTCGGTCCCACCGAGCTCTCTGCCAACAATATTTATGAGCTTGTGGCTCAGTATAGAATTCCCAACCAGTTCAATTATTCCCTTCCATTTGGGGCGTTCACGTGGGAGCATGAAACAGACGAGATCACCATCTTTGAGGAGGCTCTAAAGGCAGGACTTTGGTTCCCTCTTCATCCGCTCATCCCCGAGGTCTTGAACTATTATAGAATCAACCTCTATCAACTTCACTTGAATTCCATTAGAACCCTGGTCAGTACCATCAAATTTTGTCACCACGTTGGCTTTCCCCTAGACGTAAAGACCATCGGCATTTGCCATATAAAGCGAAATCCCTCACTACAAGAAAAGTGATTTTTAGCAGCATTTAAAAATGCCGCTAAAGATAGGTAAAAACGCAATTAAAGGCTATTGCAGCGTTTTCAAATTACATCACCGATATCTAAGTCGGTAAAAGTTTTAGTGGCATTTATCCGATTTTTAATGGTACTTAAATAAATGCCAATAAAACTTACTTTCAATGGCATTTATCCAAATTTTAGTGGCACTTATATAAACGCCCATAAAAACTATTCATCCTTTACTAGCAGTTTCAAATGCACATTTAATAGCAATTCTTAGTGCCACTAAATAACAACTGCTATAGTGACAATTATAAATGCCACTAGAAGTTACCATAAAAGCTGGCAATAACAATATAATAGCATTTATTTTTTTATATAGCGGCATTTTTGAATGTCATAAAACATTTATCTGCATAGTGACATTTATAATTACCACTAAAAAGACTTAATCATTCTATTCGTTTAGGATTTAGTGGCATTTACAAACGCCACTAAATGTCTTAACATATTCATACATGCATGCTAAAAAATAATAAAATGAAGCAACAAAAAAGATGTTGCTTATGGGCCTGAATCAATAAATATTAATTTCACCATGCCCTTTAAATCAAATGCATATTATATATTTAATTAAAAATCAAATAACTATAAAATTTAACCAAATAAACCATTTTCATATAAAACAAATTTATCATAAAATGTTTATATATACAACTGTCACTTTCAGGTCATAGATCCATAATAGATAGTCCAAAAACCAACAAAAAAATTATTTCGCTCTATGATGTTCAAAAGTCTTCATCAAAATCGAAAGTATATATCTTCAATACCCTCCATGTTAACAGTTTCCTGAAAAAATAAATACATCGATCTTGTTAATAAAAATAGTCAAAAAGAAAATATGACTTCTAATACATGACAAATAAGAATCAACAACAGGAACAATTAGAGTTGGTGAAATGCCTCTTGACTTTTTTTCAGTAACAAACCAACTTTGTTAATTATTAATATTCTGACATGTGGTACATTAAGACAGAACATATTAGGATTTTCTTTTGATGGATAACAGAATTATTCTTTATTAACGAATAAAATGGTTATATACAAGATGAAAGCATCCCCATAACCCAAGTTTTGTGATTAACCTCTATTGTAGGTACGTATTTGGATTGAACAAGGGAGGTTTTAAGTCACTTCAGCATTAGAGGATGTTTAATTTGGCCGCCTTACCACCCTCATAACCCAAGTTTGAGTAACTCATTGCTGAATTAGTTGCAAACCTATTCAAAGAATAAAAGACCTAAAAATCAAAAAAATGATGGGAAGAATCACAAGAGGATTTTCTTTTAAGAAAGGTAAAGTATAGTATTGTATTAAAATATAAAGTGTGGTCCTCTGTACAAAATAAAAATAAAAATAAAAGTAATTAAGAAAACTAAAAAAAATGTATACGTTTCTTAGACACAGATGAGGTAATGTTAATATCGAGTGGGATTACCCAATGAGGTAATGTTAATATGAGGTAATGAATTGTTTTCAGCATTAATTACCTCTCTCAAGTGGGATTACCCAATGACAGCTTCGGTTTGACTTTTTCTGCTTTTGGTTTGCTCAAGTAAGCAATACGAATAAGTCTATGCTCGCTGGAGATCTTGCTTTAGCTTTTTCTCATTTGTGAAGCTAGCTACTATTTTTTTTTTTTTATGTTAGGCTAGGTGTTTCACTTCAAGCATTCCTGAGTTTGGTTAAGTATGGCTACTTTGAATGATAACTCCAGTCCATCATTTGTCTGAGTGTATATAAAATGTAAACAATTTCATTTTAGCTTATCATTTCTAGGCTTCCTTAGAGGTGAATAATATCAGGTTATTCATGATGATCCCACCTTCAACTTTAAATGAGCAGGCTTTTCAAAAAAAAAAAACAAACAAAAAAACAAAAGATTTGAATATGCACGAGTGCTTACATGAATCTGCCCCTCAGAATAAATTATCATTTTGAGTTTGTCCCCTAGTCATCCTTTCACCTTTACATGCACATAATAGCAAGAGGGAGAGCAGGAAGTGGATGTTATCAAATAACATTTGCACTATAACTGTTTAGGGAAATTGCGTCTGTCCATGCAAATGAAGTCTAGGTTCCTTTTTAGAATTAAATGTTGCTGATTTAAATAAGTTTTAGTTATTTTCTCTTATAAATAAAACCTAGGTGTCTTAAAGGATTATGCCATCATCAGTTGAATAAAGATGGCATAAAATAAAATATTAGTGCCATCATTAGTTGAATCAATCAGGGGTGGAGTTAGGAATTTTCTCTTGGGGTCGAGTTATATAATGAAAATTTTATAATAAACCAAATACTTCCACTCCTTAGTTTCTATGATCAACTCCAATGTATGTTAAAAATGGAAGGAATATATTAAGATATCTAGGCATGTTAAAAATGACCTATTGGAGTTACCTGTTGCAAGTGAAGTGGTCAAATAAGCTTGGTGCTCCCATAGCTCATAAGTACATGGTCACATGGCTATCATCAACCAGTGAAGGAAACTACATATCTCTGGTACATATCATCAACCAGAAAAAAAAAAAAAAAAAAAAAAGAAAAGAAAAGAAACTCTAAAGCATGTAGGTGAAACTAATGTGACATAAAGTCAAGCATAAATGATGGATAAAAAGTACTTCTAAAGAATATATATAAACCTTTGACTATTGATTGGATATAGAAAGAATACAAGATTAAGAGTGAATGAAGACCTCTTGGACATAGAAAGTGTAAGAAGAAAGTTCACATACCATATCAGTCACTCCATTCAATGCACCCTTCTATAAATCAGATGAAAGAAGGTTTCCTGAAAAAGAAGGGAATAGGGAAAATTATTTTTATCTTACATTTCACAAATTTAATGCTAAATAAACATAAAGTATTAAACCAATTCTGGACCTTGATGCCAGACTACACTATTAGCCCAAGAATCATTTACAGATGACCTCCCTGACCTGAAACCAAAAATGGTTGAAAGGAAAATAAGAATAATATGATTTTTTCCTTAATTCAGAAAGAAAACTAACTCAAAAAAAAATCCTTAAGGATTGAGGCATATGACTTGAAAAAGCCTTTGATAATGTGTTTTTGCGGTAAAATTAACCTAGTAGGAGTCTTGTATATTATGTATAGTCACTTTTAGTGAGACTTTTGCTAGAGTGAGAAATTTCTCAATACCAACTTAACAGATCATAATAGACTCTATCAAAACCAACTTAACCAAAGAGAATCCAGCAAAAACAGAGCCATTAGCCCTCAATTTTTAACACCGAATTTAGTTGTTCTACTTACTCTCCAGAAATATTAAAAAGCACTGTGCTATAAAACATTAAGGCACCTTATCCTATAAAAACATTGGGGGCAGACAAAATTCTTCATCAAAGAATACAAGGAACTTTCAGATCCACAACACTATTCTAATGGGAAGATTATATTTCAATCAAAAATTCACACCTTTCAATTAAATACAACACCAAGTCTCTAGATTGTGGATTACCGTTTTTCCCATTGACTATAGGCAAGAGGTTATGTACCCATGCAAACATTCCTACAACCAAGTCTCCTTTACATTTTCACTACCAGTTGACAGAAAACCTCACCATGGTGGGGACCTTCAAGTACTACTAGGCGGTTCTTTTTAAGTTTTTAACCTATCTAAGAGAGGGAGATGACATTTTATCCCCTTTTAACTATCTTTAACAGTTAGCTTCAAAATTCATAAATTGATTATTAGCATTGATGGGATCATGGGTTTAGTTCTAGTAACATTTGAAACTAGAAAACTCAGAACCAAGAATAAGCTCATAATATGAAACAAGTTTGATAACTCTTGATACCCCTAGCTTTGGGTAGGTGAGCTGCCTGAGATCGTATACTTTGATAACTCCTTGTACTGTTAACAACCCTAATCAAGCACATTATTTGAAAAATATGAACTAGAATATATGGTAGTTAGGATTATTAAAGACATTAATTAAAGGATCTATTAAAAAAGGAAATAATTAAAGGGAATTCAGCAAAAAACAAAAAATAATGAATGAAAACAATCAGAAAATGCACTTAGTCTGTAAATATAAAATTTCCTAATATAAACATCACCAAGAGAAGTAGTAATGCTGATATATAAGTGTATTATCTTTCCTTCATTTTATTTTTTCTTTCATATTTGCAATGTCCGTAGATTGATGACAGAGAAGGATTCTCCTTAAGTTTGGCAAATAGCTTAGCAAAGAACATATATGTTTTGGGCACATTTGTAATTCTGTCCGGGTTCAGCTTACTTAGCTGATTTCTTTCACAACGTCTTGTTGTATCCTAATGTATTCTAAAGTTTTATAATTAACGAAAATTTCAAAGTTATTAATAAAAAAAAGATTCTCCTTAAGTTAATTATATTAATAAGGATGTTATCACAAAATCCACTGAATTCTGCAATATCCATGAGAATTGATTAAAATTATTTCTTAATGCCAAATAAGACATGTCAGAATCTAGATTTAGCTTGGAATTGATTCCTCCTGTACAACCTATAGCTATCAAAACCAATCCAGCGCCTGGCTAGAAGATAGGGACCAGTCTAAGTCAATGTGGAGCAGTTTATTAATGGGGCAATAAAATAGTTCCATAGATATATCAAACATTTTCTAAGCTAATTAAACAAGTCTTCGAGCAAAATTAACCAATCTACAAGCAAGGACAACTTAAGTTTACTGGTTTTTACTATTGTTTCAATCACAGAGGATCTGCAAAAAAGAGTGCTTAATTTAATATTATTGCCTCATATTATGGACCAAAGCCTATGGTAACAGTCAGAGACTTCACCAACTTAGCAAAAATGAGACTTTGGAACCTTTTCTATCGATCAGAAAGAAAAAAGGTGATAATTGAAAAGATCAAACTTGCATATCATTCCATGTATTTTGTAGGTATGTTAATGAAATTACTTCATTGCAATCATCACTGAAATGATATTGGACATACAGAACAAGATGGAAGTTTATAAGGGAGGACACCATGCCACGTGTCAACTTCAGGGTCTCAAAAGAACTATCATTCAATGTTAAAAGCAGGCCATATATTATTCAATCAAAAGCTTGATTTTTCCTTGGGAAGCACATAACTTATGAGAATGTACTAGACCAAAGATACTTGAAATAAATTAAAATTAAAACCAGGCTGGCATTCTAAAGCTAAACAGTAGTGATTATCCACCATCTTGATCCAATAATTGTTTCACTATGATACATGGAAAACAACTTCATCAGTGGTAGACCTGTCAAATTGAACGCATCAATGAGATACAAAAGAGGTTGAATGGAGTTCAAAATATATCTCATAAATGAGCAATCAACCTAACCGACTCCCAAAATCGAACTCATTTTCCAAATCATCAATGCCATCCTCTTCTTCATCTCCGTCAACCCTGGGACTGCCTGCAAATTGCATGCCATGTTAGGACTAATTCACAGGGGAGAAGAGATCAAAGTTAGAGGAAAAGAGAAAAGTACATGAATAAATAAATATATATATATATATAGAGAGAGAGAGAGAGGGAGAGAGAGAGAACCTCACCTTTGATGCGCTTGTATCTGGTTTTGCACTGAGGGCAAGCCTGATTTACCTCCCTTCTCTCATACTCGTAGCAAGGCCGGCACATAGGGAAAGCACATTCATTACAGGCTACAAAAGGCTCCATCCTCTGTAATCTCCACAAATCTGGCAGATTTGCCCACTTAATTCTCTCATAGACTTCACTTGTAAATGCCCAGAACCAGAGCTATAACTATATAGTTTCAAAATATCTATAAGATTAATAAAATCATATGAAAACAATGAAAGTCCCGTGACTCGGTCCAGATTCCAAATATCACACCCCCACCCCCAAAAAAATATAAATGAAGAAGGAGAAGAACTGCATGCAATACGGTATCTAGATGACCTAGAAAACTGTAGGAACTAAACTAGGACTCACAAATTTCTTTTTCTTCCTTACTTACCGGCGGGGCAGAGGCGGGGAAGGAGTTGGGAGTTGTGAACAAGTTCAAGAACAAGGGCTACAGTAAGAAACCCTAATTTTTTGCCTCATTTACTAAGCTAACATCTTTAGATATACAATGCAGAGCTTGGTGCAGAAATTTCAGAGATGCGTATCCCTACCCAGCAAAACTAAAGTGCAAACAAGCATGAAGATAGAGCCTAAAAAATGTTTCTCTTAACAAAAGGGAAAACCAAAACCCAAGACTATTAACTTCAAATCCAAAACCAGAATCAGGAAGAAAGATTCAGAGACAGGCATTTCCTCCTCCTGGGACAGAAGGGGAAAATGAAACAAATCAAGCTTCAATAGAGAAAAAAAAAAAGATTATATATCCCATTGGACGAACCTAGAGCGCAAAAGAAAAAATGCGCAAACAACTACCCCCATAATCAACATCTGAAGTAAAATAGAAAAGAAGAGAAAATGGAGAATAAGTGAAAGAACTCATTTTTGTCCAATCTCATCTGCATTAATGAGGACGAACTCATTTTTGTTGTGGGAACCTGCAACAAGTCGACCTCCTATGTCCATCACGCAAACCCACCACTCGAAGCTCCTCAAATAAAAAATCCTACTACAAAAATCGGCTGCTCCACCTCTTTCATGGCTCCAAAATGACCAAAAGGACTGCCTTTTCTCCTCAGCTTAGCTTCTTCGGCCTGCAGTTTCCTCATGCACCCATCACAAGAAAACCCAATCCCGCGGATAAAAATAAAACGGAGAGGACGAAGAAATAAATGTGAGAGAATACAATACGCGATTAAAATAGAACAGGAATGCACGACTTTGACACTGAGAGGAAAGATGAATAGTTCTTTGTTTATTGGAATGAAAATGTGCGAGTAGAACAGGAATGCGCGCGTGGGGGGAAGAAACTTCAATCCCGCTATTTTTCTTCTCTTACATTTGCATTTTCCCATTTTCATCTCCACCGTTAATTTGAATTGAAATCAATGGTTCAAATAAAAAATTACCTATTAAATGTCTAAACCCACATTAGTGGCGCTTTAAAAATGTTTTTTAATGACAATTTAATAAAAGCCCCTTAAAACAAAGATATAGTGGCATTTCACATATACTTTTTCCGCCATTTTAACATCTACTACTGAAAAGTTATATTTAGTGGCGATTTTGCTGCATATATAATGGCAATTCTTAAAATGGCCATTGAAAGTAACATTTAAGCAAATGCCACGATAGAAAATGTCTCTAAATAATGATATTCTTGCCTCTAGCACCCTAGGAATGTATAATTACTATCTGTCCTACTCAGTTGGGTACAAATTCTTGCACGGCTTCTCTTCCAAGGTATCAGTCTAGAAGAGGAAGTAATTCTTCCTTGACCAAAATGGCGAATGACCATTCTCAAAAACCTAGAGAGAGGAGTTGAAGTTGATCCTTGTGGAAGTACTCCAAGGAGGAAATGTTGATTGAATGAATGCAGGCCAGGGTGCAAGTCCTTGTGGACTACTGGAGGATGCTAAGTGAGTTCTTGGCTGAGGAAAAGTTGATCCAGGTCGGGTCGAGTCCTACGAGTAGGTCGTCATCTCAGGCTCGAGCTTTTCCCTTGCTTCATTTTATTTTAGTTTGGCTAACCCTTAGATTTCTTGTGCAGAAGACATGTCAGGCAATGCCAACTTCTAGGTTGTTCTAGGCCATGAGGAAAAAGAAGAGAAATAAGGTCCATCAAGAAGCACCTCAGGTGGCTACTTCCGAGCCCGCAATGGCGAGTGCTTCCGAGGCAGTTTTAGTGGTCGACCTAGTCATAAAAGATCAGCTTCCGAGGCAGTTTTAGCACCTCACTAGAGACTGAGGCTGCTCGAACATCCGAGGAGCACCTTCCACCACTCAGGACCGCGACGACCGGTAGTTCTAACACAAAGGCCATTCCCGAGGAGAGGCACAGCACCATGGACTTTTGGACTACCCTGATCAAAAGCAAAGAGGCCATCTTTCCTGAAGAGGTTGTGTGGAGCTTCGCAAATCGTGTCCTACCAAACTCAATGGGAAGATAATGCGTTACCTCATGGTAGTATGTTCCTAACCTCCCTGTTGTGTTCATTTTGACCTATATTCTGGATTTATTCTCCATTTCTTTCTTTTGTAGGAAAATACCTTGATGCATTCTTGTTGGGGTAAGTCAAGGGAAGTTTGGCGAGGGCTCAAGCTGTCGAGGAGGGAGCAACGAAGTACATGTCCCGAGTTGAGTGGGTTGTTCGTCTCATCGGTGACTTGAAAGATGAACTCGTCAAGGAGCGTAATAGTAGTGGGGACCTGGCAGGGCGTGTCGAGTAGCTCTTTAATGAGCTTGGGCGCAAAGTTTAGGAGTTGTTGGAGAAAGGAGCTTAATTCTCCGAGCCAGAGTCGAAGTTTCTTGATGACGTCCAGACTGCCAAGGTCCGAGCCATTGAAGAGTTCAAGAATTCGCCTGACTTCCTAAAGGAGAGAGAGCAGTTCAGGTCCAACGTCTTTTGTTAGGGTTTCAAGCTATGTCGGATGCCAGTGGGCTTGGTGTGCCCCAAGTTTGACCTTTCGAAATTAAAATCCTCTGCATGCACGAACGAGATGATGGATCGGGTCAATCAAGAGCTTGATTCCGAGGAAAAGGAGGACGAGATTGACATAGTTGGTAATGGTGCTAGTGGTGTATTTGATGGTGATGATGATGGAGCAGGGACTGATGAGCCCTGAAATGTCTGACCACTTTTTCTCTTTTCTTGGACCTCCTTTACATACATGTAATGTGCCGAGCCTCCAAGCTGACTTTGAAGATATTTGTATGAATTTTTTTATAGCAATGTACTTTCTTTTGTTTAATGGAGCAATGTACTATCTTTGTTTAATGGAGCCTTTGCACATCCTGTGTTTGTCTTTTTGACTTAGAAAGTAGACTAAGTCTAGAAACATGATTCGAGGTGCCTAGGTGCCAAAGCAACTAAGCATTACCAAACTATGAACGTATCTCGAGGTTAGCATAAGGGCCTTAGAGCTGAAAACGGTTTGCCTTCCCCTTATATATAGCTTAGCAAAAGTGCTTCATAGCATAGACTGGTTGACCAAGCCACCAGGATGGGCAGTTTCATTTTTGTTCTAATAGATGCAGTTCAAAACGTTCGAACTCAAATGTAGTACTCTATAGGGGCCTTCCCAGTTCGGACCTACCTTTCCTACACCAAGTTCAAGTACCATAACTTTCTGGAGTACTAGGTCACCAACTCGGAATTGGCGTTTCTTAAATCAGGTGTTATAGTATTGAACTACACATTGTTGGTAGGTCATGGTCTGAGTATAGGCTAAGTCACGAACATCCTCCGCGAGGTCAAGGTTGGTCCATAGCTCATCTTGGTTAGCCTTCTTGTCGTATACCTCAGACCGTAAGGTCGGCACCTTGATCTCGGTTGGGATGACAACCTCCGCCTTGTATGCTAAGTTGAAGGGAGTCTTGGTAGTTGTCATTTTGATGGTAGTCTGATAAGCCCAAAGGACGTTGGGCAACTCATCAACCCACAAACCCTTAGCTTGGGAAAACCAAGCTTTCAATCCACGAAGGATCACCCTATTTGTCACTTCATCTTGATCGTTTGCATGGGGATGAGCCACCGAGGCAAAGTTCTACTTGATTCTTATCTCGATACACTAGTTCTGGAATTTGATGTCTTCGAATTGCTTCCCGTTATTCGATATCAATACTTCAGGGAGCTTGAATCTATAGACGATGTTCTTCTAAAAGTTCTATACATTCCGAGTTGTGATGGTTAGTAGCAACTCAGCCTCTACCCACTTCGTAAAGTAGTCAACCGCAACAACCAAGAACTTCCTCTGCCCAGTCATAGGCGGGAAGGGACCGATGATATCTATCCCCCATTGAGCGAATGGCCATGGGTTGGTAAGGTACATCAAGTCGGCAACAGGCTGGTGTGGTATGTTAACATACCATTAACAATTGTCACACTTCTGAACTAACTCCAATGTGTCCATCTTCATCATGGGCCAGTAGTAGCCCTGTCATAATGCTTTCTGGGTGAACGCCCTACCCCCTAGGTGTCCTCCACAAAGACCTTAATGAATCTTGAAAAGCACCTAGCTTGTTTCAGTTGGGCGCAAGCAGCATAGGTAAGGGAGCATGAATGACCTATGATATAATTGTTCGTCGATGATCACATAACGAGCTGACTACTGCTCTACCCTCCGAGCTATGTTGTGGTCTGCTGGTAGGGTCTCGTGGTATAGATAGTCAATGAGCGGGTCAATCCATCTCGGCTCTATAGCCAAAACAGGAGAAACTTCTTCTGCCACCCTTTCTATGTTAGGTTGTAGCAGGTCTTCAATGTAGACCATTCTCCTTGTGATGTTCGTTTCACCAGCCAGCTTCGACAATGCATCGACCTCGGTGTTCTCAGAGCTTGGTACTTGTTGGATGTACCAAGAGTGGAAGTTGGGCATGAGCTCTTTGACCTTGGCTAGGTAGGCTAACACGGTAGACTCCCGAGTCTCATACTGCCCATTCACTTGGTTCATCACTAGCTGTAAATCGCCGCACACCACGAGGTGTTTCGCGCCAACCTCCTTTGCCATCGATAGTCCGACTATTAGAGCATCATATTTAGCTTTATTGTTCGATGCTTAGAACATGAACTAGAGAACATACTCTAGGTTCACCTCATTAGGTCCATAGAGGATCAGCCTAGCTTCGCTTCCGCGCTGATTGGATGAGCCATCCACATGGAAGATCCAACGCTCCTTGTCCCAAGTTGGGTCGGGTGTTGCACTGGAAGGTGCCTCCAAGGTGGTGACAAGTTCGACAACTTCAGGGGTCAGCGTGTTGAACGTGCACTCGGTGACGAAGTCAGCCAGGACCTACACCTTGATCACTTGGTGCATCTCAAACCGGATGTCGTACTCATTAATCTCGATTGCCCATTTCGTTAATCTTCCCGAGACCTCGGGCTTCTATAGAACTTGCCTCACTACCACGGTATGGACTTGAAAGTAATGGCGTAAACTACAAGCCACCAGTTCTAAAGCAAATGCCAGCTTTTCTATGTCAGGGTATCTACTTTCAATGGCATGCAAGACTTTACTTACGTAGTATACAGGTCGCTACACTTTGTCCATCTCACGAATTAGGATCGAGCTGACTACTTTGTCACTTGTAGAAAGGTAGAGTTTGAGCTTGTCCCCAGGTTCCAGCCTAGTTAACAAAGGTGGTGAATTGGCATACCTCTTCAACTCGTCAAATGCGAGCTAACACTCTTCAGTCCACTCAAAATCTTGGTTTCTCTTTATGGATTTAAACAATGGAAGACACCGTCCAACCAATTTAGGGTAGCTATATGGCATGTTAGCCTTTGAACCTATTTAATTGACCTAGGGGGTCTCATTTATAGGACAGCCTGGATCTTGTCTGCGTTGGCTTCGATGCCACGTCGGTTCACCATGTACCCGAGGAACGCCCAACGTGACCTTGAAGACGCATTTGCTTGGGTTGAGCTTCAAGTTATATTCTCTTAAAATTTCGAAAACACAATTGAGGTCGGAAATTAAAGAGTTAGAAAATTGGGTTTTCACAACCATATCATAAACATATGCTTCAATTTTATTTCTAAACAAATTTGAAAAAACTTTATTTACAAGACGCTGGTAGGTCGCTTCAATGTTTTTTAATCGAAAGGGCATAACTTTATAATTGTACAAGCCCATCTCAGTTGCAAATATAGCTTTTTCTTGATCACTCGATTCCATTTGGATTTGGTTGTAGCCAGAGTATGCATCCATGAAGTTCAACAGATCGAACCTCGAGGTCATGTCTACCAGGTGGTCAATCCTTGTGAGTGGGAAACTATCCCTTGGGTAGGT